GGCAGAGTTTATGATCCATCCACAGACAAGTCTGTAGCAGACTATCGATAGAAGCACTGTGACTTGCTCCCTAGTCACAGACACAGCTTGCGTTCCTGACATAGTACCAACGACAATATAAAATTAACTAAAGTAAAGTAGCGAAAGACTCTACTTGCAGCCTGACATTCACCCAGCTAAAAAATCGGAGAAGCAGGTTTGCTTTCTACCAAGTAAGGAAGAAATTAAGAACAACACTATCTACTACCCCATCATTGCGTCAACGTTTATAAAGCGGGCTCGATGAGTGTGAAGCCGTGAGTACAATTAAACCGTGCTGACCTCTAAAGCAACTAGTTAGAAGTCGAATTCAAGGGAAACCGCTTATAGCCACGAGCACACCATTCGGAAAAATTTACTAACCGATGATAAAGAAACCTATGAAGTAGCAATTGATTACTATCCACCGGATCAGCTATTTAAGTGAATTTAAGTCCATAAGAGCTAAACAATGTTCCACTAATAGAGTTTCTTGTATCGAAAACCTGGTAACTGATCTCGTATATGGGAAAGTAAGGAGTAAAGACTACGACGTTTGCTCCTAAGAAAGCTTGATACCAGATCGTCGTTTCCGCCCAGTAACGGCCTCGATTCTTGGCATTCTACGTAGTCTACAGTATGGGGAAGAGTGTCATCATTGGCTGATAGGGAGAGAAGGAACATGAAGGGTACTAACCACACGAAAAATGTAAAGTATGTAAGAACAAAGAGAGCGTCCATTGTGTAAAGGGACTCGGAGGTGAAAGCAACAATGTGATGGCAGATAAACAAAAAGCAGTTTAAAATGAAGTTAAAGGAGGTGAAGTTAAATGCTGGATAAGTAACAAGGAGTCGCGAGTAAGAAATATGTGCGATGATGCCAGTAGCAACCAAAATAATCGACAACCCATCGAGAAAGGGAAAAGAGAGCTGGAGAATTATGACAGTGTATAAAGTAGACCGGATTACTTTTCCGGTTGTGACGGTGTGTTCCTCCACCAACTCAGCCAGGTAGAAAAGACCCATCGAAACGCAGAAGAGAAGTATAGCGCCGTAAATTACAACCGTAGCATAGGAGAGGAGCCAAAGGATGGATATCTACTAGTAAATCACGAAAAACACCAACACCCACCATTCGGCAGCACAGCAGCTACACACACAAAACTGAGAGCCAATAAATGCCCCGAGTACAATTACCAATCCAATGAAAGGGGCGAAAGGAATGGACCTTAGCATTTCGACCAGTAGCGTCGACATAAAGGGTGTCATAGGTTGTTCATCATTGATGTACCTGCTCGGCAAAACAAATTATTCTGCTTTGACTTTTGCCTCTCAGCCCTATTGCTTGGCATCATCGTACAAGCAATTTGGGTGCATTGCTACCTGTTAATCCCCACAAGCTTCTTTGAAATTGACCTCAGTAAAATTATATCATACAAGAAATTGTTTAAAACATTATATTGTTTGTTGATTTTAAATCCAACCCTCAGCAGAATACCTGGTTTGGCATTATCCGCTTCACGATACTCATTCTGAGAGCACTTCCAACGGGCATTATTTGGAGATGCTTAAAGTGTGCAGAAGTTATCGATTCTACTTCTGCACGATTACATTGCACAGATTTAGTTGTAAAACGCAGCTAAACAATTTGATTGGCTATAGCTGGACATTTGACTAAATATTTATTTATAGCTAGCAGCACTTACAAACTGGGCCTTGGCGGTGTGCTCCTGGCGTAGTGCTTCACTGCTTTGCTTGCAAAAAAGTTTCCTACGCGATTTTTGGGCAAATTTGATTTATTTTTTATCACTTTTTACTACTTTTGTTAAAAATATTCTGTAACTGTTTGCTAGCCCTTTGTGCCCTCTCGCCTCAGAACCGCCCCATTATTTTCACCAACACTTTTTGGTCAGATTTTTGAGTATGTTATAACCCCTTATTATGAGTTTCACACACGGAGATGTCTATTTAATTGGAGCCTAGTTGCTAGCTTGCTCTGTTCCGTGTGTGCTTTTTGTCACAAAGGAGCACGATATTCTTGCATAATATTGTTCTACAGGATGTCTTGGATAATTGGAACTGGTGAGCCCCCGAACAAATTTACTATTGAACGGATTATGGATGAGAACGATCTTCTGCTTGATGTAGTTAACAATAAACTCGCTGCCGGCAACTTCGTGGATGCTACTTCATATCAAATGATTCTTCAACGAAATCTTGTGTATCTTCTTGGTCTCTCCTTGCGACTCGGGTCCCCGAGGTAGCCATTATTCGTCTGGAAGTCGGATGTGTTTGCCCTGATGTGTGCATAACTAGTGTTGGACTTAATCCCAGTTTGTTTGGTAAAAAATAAACCTCTATTGGTTTACTCTTTTCACTTGACTTGAAGATGACTGATTCCTTTTATGCCTTGCGTTTTTAGTATTTGTCGTTCTAATTGCATGTTCAATAGTAAAATTGTATAACTTTACAATATCGAGGTGAATGTTAAAGGTTTAGGTGCATTGGTTTGCTATCACAAGCATATGAATAGAAACTTTGTTCTTAACTGCGGATTCACCACCTTTTGTAGGATGCTACTGTTTTATATGTTTTGTAGTCTTACTATGAGTTGTATTGTTCGTGAAGCTCTAATACTTGCAAACTTTAACAATGCCCTATGGCCGGCATCTGCCTATCAATGCCTAATCATAATTTGCATGAAAGTCTCAAGGCTCTTATTATCATGCATGCATTTTTTTAGATCTTTGCATGGATGAGATAACTGAGGGGTACCTATGTCCGGAGTGCTTATTAAATTTGAACTCCGAGGAAGCGCTCATTTCTCACTTTCAGTTAAATCACGCTTCTGCCTCACAAGACAATGAGGGTATTCATCTTCACATTCATCTAACTCGTTTTTGCAGTTGAGAATCTTACAAGAGATTACAGGGACCTTACTATAAATCATCCTAGCGATGAAATCTGCTCAAGGCTCTCTCTTTTGGTGCGGTTGATTGTTTTAGTATTTTTTTGACATCTTTTTAGGAGGGTATTATTCTCTCCCTCCTTGAGGGAACATTGACACCGCAGTCAATCCCTGAAATGTTTGTTTTGCTTCATAACGATACATTCAGTATATTAGCGATCTGAAATCCAAACTGCAAGCTTTTTTGAAGGAACAAGTCAACAGAAAAGCTGAAACTGATACTTTGATTTCTCAGGTCAGTTTACATCGTCTACACATAATTCCAGTGCCCAAATATTTCTCCACCTGAGTAACTGCCTTAATAAAATGCTCTTTTTTAGCTTAGAACCGAACGCGACTCCGCCTTTGGTGAAGTCAGCCAGTTGAAAGATCAGTCAGTGCAGCTGAAGCTGCAGTTAAAGGCCACGTGTAATGAGTTGTCGGCGAAGGCGGATGAACTTGTGGTGGTTAGAAACCAACTAAAGGTAAAAATTTTGACTCAAAAAATTATAATTTTTCTTGTTTATCCTAATAGAACGCAAGCAGCGAATTGGCGGCAATCCAAAACGAGCGTCATACTCTCTCTGTCCAGGTAGAGTCCGCGTTACCTAAATTAAATCAGTAGGGTGTCTGCCACCATTTCTATTTTTGTAATTACAGAAGCAGTCACCTGACAAACTGATAAGTGATCGGCTGGAAGGAAGCTTAAATGGACTTGAGGTAATGCCTTGGTGCTAATTTCCATAACGCTCTGCTATCGCTCATTTTATAAAACATAGAACGAATTCTTTCAAGTTCACCAAGCTTTTCCACATTTTCGTCCTTTATTTACTCTTTCTTGCTTTGATAGGCAGAACTTTTAATTGCGACAAACCCAGTCTTATTGATATTGTACTATAATTTGTAGTCTCTGGAAGCCTTCATTCAACGTTTAAAGTTTGTCGGAATCGAGAGAATCATGATGTGCTGTAAAGGTCTAACTCATACTCACAACTAACGTTGACAGCATTCAGTGATGTCTACCCTTTTTAGCAAATAGTCTGTTTAAGTCAACCTCTGATTGCCAGTTG